GAAAAATTTCGTCAAATAGAGCTCAGTCTGATAAACGTCCTCAACATTCAAGGTGAAACTGCTGAGCCTTGTGTAATCTAAACAACTTGACAATTCTTACCTTGACAAGGGAACAAATTTGTCAATTTTACCATTTGCCAAAGGGAAGGAGAATTGTTTAGGAAGACTTTCCTAACGTAGATGCAGTGAACACTTTGTTTGTGACTGTTTTTCAGGATCTTTAATACTACATGTGTAGGTAAGAGAACAGCACATCATAGTAAATCCCTATAAAGGTATTATTTTATTCCTTGACATCGGTTTCTTTAACATTTACACCATTCAATTAAAAATAAAATTCCTTACTTTTAATATTGGGAAGCTACTGGCTGCTAACTAATAAAACTATTATTTTTTTGCATCTCAGTAACTCGGTTTCATTGTCTGAGTGTCGCATTAAGAAAGGAAAAATATGTTCAATTAATCTAGACTGTGATTTACCTTCATACCTAAATTTTATTCTAGATTCGACAGATACAACATAATTCTAGTTTTAGTAGCTGGCGGGAGCTGCGGTTTTAATTTCTGGCGGGAAAGCCGTGAGAAGATTAGAGGCAAGTCAAACTGAAGAATTTCCTTCGTGGCTTGGCCGCTCGTTTCGTTTGGCTCTACCGCCAAGAAAGTACTCCGGGCATAACAATCTCGTCAGCTACGCAGGTCAACAAGATTCTATCTTGTTATTAAACTACAATAAGTAGTCACATGATTTACGTATGCGCGATAGTGGTCAGCACTTGGCGTTTCGCTGAAAGCTAATTGAGCATGTTGTGAATGTCTTTCCTGTTCAAACGAAGGATATTATTCCTTGTGGATCTCCTAGAATTTTAGCACCGTGTGAGAATTTCATTTCATACTTCATGTTAGTTTGATGCAGTGCGACCAAGTCATATCCCTGCATCCACATTGCCTAAAGAGACTTTTTTTATTCATTGGCCTTTTTAAACACCCATCCTNTCAAACTGAAGAATTTCCTTCGTGGCTTGGCCGCTCGTTTCGTTTGGCTCTACCGCCAAGAAAGTACTCCGGGCATAACAATCTCGTCAGCTACGCAGGTCAACAAGATTCTATCTTGTTATTAAACTACAATAAGTAGTCACATGATTTACGTATGCGCGATAGTGGTCAGCACTTGGCGTTTCGCTGAAAGCTAATTGAGCATGTTGTGAATGTCTTTCCTGTTCAAACGAAGGATATTATTCCTTGTGGATCTCCTAGAATTTTAGCACCGTGTGAGAATTTCATTTCATACTTCATGTTAGTTTGATGCAGTGCGACCAAGTCATATCCCTGCATCCACATTGCCTAAAGAGACTTTTTTTATTCATTGGCCTTTTTAAACACCCATCCTCATGTGTTAAATGTAAGGGATTTGATTGTTAGGGTCATTCATCTACTGTTTCGTTACGTATTTAACAAATCGTTCTGAAAGTTTCGTGGTGCTTCACAAGTCCCATTGGCTGATCTTGGGAGACCTGTGCACCCCCTTCTTACCCTATATGCACCCTTTCACCTGAGATCAAAGTTCATCTCAAAAGTGTAGGTAATCTAAGAGTTTTGTGGCGCAAACGAGGGGCCCGTGGGGTACCTGTGCACCCTCTTCTTACCCTAAATTGAGATCAAACTTCATCATAAAAGCATAGTTTCGCCTCTGTGTCGTGTTTAGAATACTAGCTTCAGTTGAATGAAATAAAACAGGCCTCAAAGTAAAACTTGGTAAATGTACATAAAAGCTAAAAGATGGAGAGAGACGAAATACAAGGCCAAAGCTGCCTTCCGAAATCCACGGGGTGAACTTAGAGATAGAGAT